CCCAAGCTGTACTCTCTGAGGACAGTCCTCCAGGAAGGATTGGAGCCAGGCAAGTGCCAGGCCACTGATTCCCGACTCGGAGAGCCACCTCAGGAGGATACCATGGTCGACGGTATCAAAGGTGGCTGAGATATGAGGGAGGCTGACATTTGACCCCTGTCAGCCTCCCTCAATAGGTCATCATACAGGGTGATCAATGCAGTTTCTGTACCATGGCGTGGCCTGAAACCCAACTGGAACGGATCCAGGGCATTTGTTTTATCCAAATAAGCCTGAAACTGATCGACCACCACCCTCCCCACCACTTTGCTAATGAAAGAAACATTGGCAACGTGCCTATAATTGCCAATTTTGTCTGCCGCCAAACTAGGTTTCTTCCTTATGGGCCTAATAAGTGTCTCCTTGAGGCTATAAGGTACCCTGCCCTCACGGAAAGACCCATTAAGTATTGCTGTGGCCCATTCAATTGTTATAGGCCTGGTTGCTTTGATTAGCTAGGCTGGGCAAGGGTCAAGGGATGAGGTGGTGGTCCGACAGCGATCAAGCACTTTGTCCACAATATCTGGCATTACAGGTTGAAAGAGATCAATAATCACTGGGCAAGGCGGAGTGCTGGACATCTTAACCGGTTAGCAAGATGTACACAGTTAGCAGCCTTTACCTTGGCATGGTAAAGGTTAGTTGCGACCTTGACAGCTATCCAATTATAATTTGTTGGGTTCTTTTGAGGCCAGTCACTTTGACCAATTCCGCATAGGTCGCACACTATACAGAAAAGCTCCACCTGCTGGTTTGAAGCTTCACTTATCCGGTTAGCGAGATATGCTCAGCTAGCAGCCTTTAGCTTGGCATGGTAAAGGTTAGTCGCGACCCTGACAGCTATCCAATTACAATCTGTCGGGTTATTTCTCCACTTCCTCTCTAGCCTTCTCCTAAATTGCTTCATCGCATTTCTCCACTTCCACTCTAGCCTTCTCCTAAATTGCTTCATCGCTCGTAGGTCCTAATTAAACCAGGATGCAGGCCGAGCTCTGCGTTGGAGAGGGCATTTAGGAACAATCGTGTCTACAGCCCTGGCAGCGGTGGCGAACCAGCCATCAACCACAGCCTCGACAGGAGCACCAGCAGATCATCCAAAACACTTCTCATGGCATCCTGGACTCCTACGTGATCCAGTAGCCTTCGAGGGCGGACCAGTGAAATAGATCCCTGGACCAACTTAACGCCGCGATGAGATAGCAGCAGGAGGACGGAGTTCTGTCCCCTGGGCTGAATTCTGACCTGTTTGGGACACCCCAGGGTGTCGAAACCACTCCGGAGAGGTGGTGAACTGGGGGGGGATGCCTGTTGATCACGGGGGAGGGACAGCGGTCATGCCCATCTGATCCAGGAAACTCCCTAATCAGCCAACAGGCAGAAATAAGCAGTTTTTTGCTTGCAAGTCGTTGGCAGCCGGCAATAAGAGAAGCAACAATCAGCTATTCAACATCAATGTTACTATCGGGTGAGATATATTTTTACAACTAATTGCTTATGATTACCCCTGGAGAAGACAATTCCTATATACAGAAAAAAGAACCTTCTATCAATCTCATCAATCATAGAGCAGCAGAAAATCTGGAGAGGGGGATAGTTGATGCAAAGAAAATAATTTAAAGATTGACGGGACATTAACTACTCATTTAAATACATTTAAAATATACTTTAAGAAAATTATAATTTGGTGTTATAAATCTTAAGAAATTTTCTAGTAAGTTATTACTAGTTAAGTCTGTACTTATCTCATATTTTGACTACTTGAAGTTTTTTGGCATAATGCTCAGAACAGTGACCTTGAGTACTCTATTGCTGTTTAAAGCTTGGAAACCTGTTTTTTATTTCTTTTTGATGTTTTCATGCCTGGCTGGAACATAGACAAATTAACCCTAAAGTGGGTCTTTTTAAACTGTACTTTGGGAATTAGTATATTGGACCAAAGTGAACTTTTTGGAACCACCTCCAGGGACTTGGAATTTCAGTTTTGGCCGATGTAGAAATGCGGGAACTAGTCTACCAGGACATGGATACAAAGACTGAATTGGACTGTGATATTTGGAGGTTTTGAACCTGGGTTCAGGCCTATTTGGCCAAAGTAGATCCTCTGAAACTGCTCTGAGAGCTGGAAGTGCTTGAGTTTGACTAGCTGGCACAAACCTGTGGGAATTAGGCCATCAGGCCACGGATACAACCATTGCATTGGACCTTGGTACTTTGGGGGTTTAAATTTTGGTTCAGGCTTATTTAGCCAAAGCGGACTCTGGGAACTAACTCTGAAGACTTGGAATATCTGTTTAGCTGGCATCAATTTGCCAGGGATCAATTAGGACACAGATAAATCATCCAACCGGACGATGAGACTTGGGGGCTTCGAATCTTGGCTTAAGCTCTTGGGCACCTGGAACAAAATAGCACAACAAGGACAATTTTGGGATGAAACAAAATCTACCCTTCAAACAACACTAGAAATAGTGAGATCCCACTACCAAGAGGAAAAATTATTCAACCAACATCTGAAGAATTATAGTCAACAAGAGACAGGGAATAACGAAGAAGGAAATGAGAGTGTGCTGGATGATGTATGCCAATCAAAAGAGGAGCTGGAGGAAATTAATGGGGAAAACCTAAAAGAAACAACTTCAATCTTGGATTCGAGGAGAGTATTAAGGGAAGATAAGGGGAGAAAATCAGCAAAATTAATTTTAAAAAGCCCAGAAGATCTATTGAAGATAGATCAAGTGAATAAAGATCTAGTGGAGATAAATCAGATGCACAAAATGGTTTCAGAGGGCATGAAAGATGGCAGAATGCTTAGAGAGACAGAAACAAAAAGTGAAAAAAGAGAAATAAGAGAGAGAATTACTTAGAAAGATGAAAAAGGAAAAATAGGAAGGGGCCCTTAATGTTGAAATACATGTATATATTTAACTTCGGGAATTGTAAAGGAGCATATCTTTTATATTAAAAAGGAGAATTAAATTGAAATAAGGGAGCTTTAACCAGAGTAAAGATGTAATATGGTGGGTTTTCTTTTTAGGTAAATTAAACTAGA